ACAAATAGAAATTTTTTAGATATGTATGTATTGTTCAAAGTGGAAAATTGATAATAACCCAGTCAACGAGGTTCTATTTCAATCAAAAATTTTATTCAAATATTTTGATTAATATTAGTTTAGGGTTAAACAGTAAAAATTGTGCTGGAATGAGGAGGTAGTATTAGAAACTGTATGAGTACAGAGAATATTGTGACAATAAGGAAAAGGTGAAATTTTTACATGAAGGACGTTAGGGAAATACGAAAGTTTGCTCAGGATATAAAACAGTAGAGATGCTTGTCCAACCAATCTACGGACTAACGACGCTATAATGATGATGACCAATCGTCAAATATCAAATATCTAACTGGGGCAAAACAATTTTTTTCGAATTCATGAGAAATTCCTGCAAAAAATAGATATTTTAATTTTTTCCAATTTTGTCTAAAAAATTTAATGTTTTTGAGCCTTTGATATCGGATTATACTGGAAAGCTAAATTTAATATTAGATTTAGTACAAATCATAACCTAGTTTGGTGGATTAAACCATGGTTGGTTTAAATTCCTTATTTTCATTTTGACCCTTTTTCAACTTCATTCGACAATCGGTTATATTCGTGAATCCTCCAAGTGTATTCTGTACAGTAGACTGCTGCAGACATTCGTATTATGCTTATTGATCAGCTTCTACTTGTTGTTGGAGGTACTGCTGCTGACGTTGTCGGATGTTCTCGTCATAAGACGCGGGTGGAGGTTCCGAGTCCGCGGCGTTGTCCCATTCCGCAGGTCGAAATAGTGGGCGTCCGAATAAAGCGAATTAAGGGAAAGTTCCTTAGGCGGCATTGGTTCGATCCCCTTGATCGAACGGAATTTTGGGCAGATGTTGATCCCAGGTTTTGTATTTGCCTTGTTGTATCTAGGTGTGAAGACCGACTTTTATTTCCTTATTCCACCATTCAGTTGGATTTGCCTTAGTTTGGTATACGGTAGCAGTCCAGTGTTGTGTTCATTTTGTGCAGACGCAAGTCCTGAACCTTCTTGTAAACTGATTTCAATTATCAGTAAGTAGTTGCGAAGCCAATTAGAAACGCCTCAATCCACCGACTGGAAAGGTCCATTATAACTAAAATAACCCTTTTTCCTCGGGCTGTTCTTGCATGAGAACCCATCAAATCCACGGCGCCAGACCCCAAAATTTTTCAGGTTGTCGGGGGCGTATCGGAGAGAGGGGAATGCAATGCCTTTTCGCACACAAGCATATGTGGCATCGTCAAACGATAGACGTCCACGACTCAGAGAGAGCCAATCATAGTAGCGTCAAATACGGCAGGTCGTTTGTCGAATGCCCGGATGTCCCGCTTTGTCGTGAAATTCGTGGAGGAGACGGGCTTGGTCTGAGTAGGGAACTACGATAAACAAATTTTCTCCTTTCCTTTTCCAGAATGTGTCGTCCATCAGTCGATGGTACTGGAGAAAGCCCTGATCGTTCTAGAAACAGCTTTCCGAATGATTTTGAAGGAAGTCAGCGTTGTTTCAATTGTTGGAGGTTGGAATCGGATGATTGGGCTTTGCTGATGGACTCCTTTAAGGTGACTACTTGAATTTGTGTGGCAGTTGTGGTGAAAGTGTTTGCAGTATCTTGTTGGTCAGGTGGTTATTGCAATCTTTTCCCAGGAATTGGAGTAAACAATAATGTCATCAAATATACCAGAAAGTCTGATGTAACCAGCAAGAACTTCTTGACTTATTGTCCTCTGGAAAATAACCGAGGCTAATTTTAGACCAAATGGCATCACCCAAAATTGAAAACAACCTCCATCCGGGGCAGTGAAGGCGGTGAGTGATCGGGAATCGGGATGTTCTGAGATTTGCCAGTAACCCGATTTGAGATCGATTGTGGAGAATATACTCGCCTTTCCAATTTCTTTGAACGTTTCATGGATTGTTGGCAATGACGAAACCTCGTCTTGGGTAAGGGAATTAAGGCGGCGAAAGTCCACGAAGGATCGAAGTTTGCTGTGACGAGCGAGTTATAAGGAGAACTGCAAGGTGCGATCACCCCGTTCCTAAGCATCCTCAGAGCACCGGTACAGAGAAAAGCGAAACAGTTCCGACAGGATGAGGCGAATAACGTGCTGCGTAGTCTGCGACGGAGTGGTTTGTTTATGGAAATTTTAAGTTTTGCAGTACGGGTCGTCACTCTGGATTCAATAGACTGTTTTTCCTGCATCTTTACCGAAATGTATATATCTTGTTTCGAAGTAGAAAGTGACATGTTTTTCTGTCAGCCACTGAGCTGCGATACCAGCACTTTCCATCTCGCTTCTGTTGACAAGTTGTACTATGACGCTGCTAGGTTCTGCTTGGGAACAGGTTTTCAAGATACTGGATTTCGTAAAATTTTGAGGCCCCGGTGTCGATCACGGCTTGGACAGGATGTTGTGATATTTTTTCATTGTTATATTTTGCAGCTTATTGAAGCAGGCCCTTATTGCTTTGGATGAGTGGGTCGGACAGGATTTTCCTCGGACTGTCTCCAATTCCCGACGACGTAAGAGCTTGGCTTGATCGTCTGTCCTGTAAAACTGGACACTCTATGGAAATGTCTTTCAGGGCAGAAATGACATTTGGGCACCGTTGATGGAGACAGCGTCTTCGGAGCGTTAGACGACACCTTTATCTCCTTTCGCTGGCGAATAGGCGTGGTAACACGAGTATTTGTGAGATCTATCTCTGAAGCCCTTTCGAGAAATTCGTCCAGGTTTTGCAGTTTAGCAATTCGTGGAAAATACGAATGGAAAATCATAAGAGCTCGATTACCTGCTAGACAGACTACTCCTCACTCTTTATTGGTTACAGTCATTAAGAGCTGTAACTTGTTCATGAGAAACAGCTTGGTGTCATCCTTGCTCCCCTGTTCTTGTCTGTATAGTTAAGCTGTTAGAGAGGTTCTTTTTATGCGAGCCCCATGTTCTGAGCGTCACTTGATTCACTATTGGTTTTCGTACACACCATTTATTTACACCAATTTAAAAAAATATACATACAGCCAGCAACGATCAACGATGATAAGATAAAGATATAGAAACAGTAAAAAGGTTGAAGCAAAAAACATGTATACAACAAAAATTCTGTGATTTGTCTAAGTGGCTAGAGCTCCATCTCCCTTGCCGCTGGTGGGTGGAATGTCGGAGATAGTCAAACAACAACAGTAATGCCCGTAGTGATCCCCCTCACCCTTGCAGTTGGTGTATGAAATGTCAGAGATGATTTTTGCTTGTTGTAAGACTGGTATTTATACCACCTTGGGGTAGAAAAGGGGGTGGAAAATAGAGAGGTTGACAGATAATTGAAATAAAGGGTGTTTACTACATGTACGGTAAAATTTCAAGTAGTTTCTTCCTAAGCTACTGTAAGAATATTTTACCATTTAATTATTCCTGGAAATGTGATTTTTATTTCGTATGAGATCAAGCGTCTACGTGATTCACTTTTGCTCATCAACACTTCTTTAATAATTACGCTGGAACCAGGAGGGGCTACGCCCCACCGCATTCCCGTTGGACCCCACCTTGAGTACCCTTTGCTGCCCTCTTGGATGGCCTCTTGTTCTTGTAGAAGAAGCTTTACATATAATTTATAGGAAATTAAATACGTTGAATGTCCAAAGCCTTACATCTCTGAGGCAAAATAGATTTCTAAAAATTTTCAGAAAACAACAAACATTTTAAAACCTATAAATAATAATTGCAAACGAAAGCATGACATAAAAATTTAATTCTTTAATATTATCTTTCCAGAACGATTTAATCGACGAAGTTTTGCTGGAAAATGTAAAGAAGGCGATGAAAACTGTACAATGAAGATTACTTCCTCTGTTAACTAAATTGCTAATGATAAAATAAACCGTTTTACATCCTTTTATTTATCTGATAGACAATTAGCACATAAATTTCATTAAAAATATACCAAACTTACGACGAGGACAGCAATAACCTAAAATAGAGAAAATAAAGTAATTAGTGCACTTTATGATAACTAATGTTAATACCTGTCCAATGAATGCAAGGAAAATGAATACAATAAGTAACTGAGATTCCCAGTAAAGATAGATCCCTAAACGATCTAAACAGCCTGGACGATATAAAAACTTTTTTGTTAAATCCACCTGAAAATAATCTCAATTTCAATTCTCATTTAATTACAATAAATGTAAAAGAATTTACGTAGCATGAGTTAGGAATTTCGAGATTTAGACTGGTCCAGTCGGAATAGTTCGTAACACCACAGCATTTGAGTCTATTTTGTGTTAGATCCCATGCATATTTATATTGTTGATTATTTTTATATGACGTTGCAGTTTGGTAGAGTGTTTTGTTAATTGTATCTCGAAAAGGACATTGAAGAAAGACAGCCGGTACCTGTTCTTTGTCTAACTTCAGTTGCTTTTTAGTCAATAGTCCCATCGTTATCGAAGCTGAAGATAAACCCACGGCAAACACCAGAATAATTATAAGCTAAAATATTTTAAAAATGTCAAAATAAATTCGTGAGATCATTGAATGGTTTACCAATGGAAAAAATACGTAATTTTTTTTGTTGTTATGCGCCATCCATAATAACCAAAAGCCAGGTAAGTTTAAAAGTGCCGATATAAAACTGGATACGTTCATCATAAGTTGAGTATTACCTTCTGTAACTATGACAAATGGCATTCGGTATATCATAGACCAAGAACAAACGCTGCATGTTGCTATACTGCAAACCTACAAAATGTACATAGAAAATAGTTCTTTAATACTAATAAAAAGTTTCGTCGAAAAGTATATACAATATAACTCGATCATAAGGATAACAAAGGGATTTATGAAATACTTATAGACAATTTATGTAGTTTCGGAAAAGTAAATAGTGAAATAATCACTATCATGATATTTTCTTTTTTGTAGTCAAATTAAACTCTTGTAATCTTAACAATATTTTAGTAATTTCAATGAGCAAAATTTGTTGCCTTGTAAATCAATTTTGTCAATATGATATTTGATGCTTACCAGAGCCGAGATCTCGGCAATTTGAGAAATATTTTGAACAGTTAGATGTTACAAAAAAGTTACAGACTGGAATATATCCACTCTTATTTGTAGCGTACGTGTATACTCATGGACCTTTTCAGAAAGTCGTTTTGTACAAAATTTGTAAAATTTATCAATTCTAATAAAATAAACCCAGTTCGGTGACAATGAAGAAATAAATACATTATTTATTGCTAAAAAACAACCAAGAATCAGAGTTTTTCTAAATGTCCGTAAATTATCATTAAAACATTTTTTTTACTAAAACTAGGTGAGTGTAGTTCTTGTCGAGTTCGAAGTTTTGTTTTAAATTTTACAGAAAATGAAAGCTTTTTGTAATAATAACTTGTTTCTAAAAGAAAGAGTTTTTGTAGATTTCGATTTACTTCCCGAGCACCTACAGAAATGTCTTTGGACGTAAAAAGAGTTGTACTAATGTCTGCAATTAGTGCTCGTATTGCCAAATAATTGCAAATTTCCGAAAAAGTGACCAAAAGTTTTTTTTTTTGGACCTCAAACACTTTGATTATCCTTTTAGTTTGAGACTGTTTCGCATTAACAGCGCTGTCAGCCGATAGCTTACAAAAAAATATTATTTTACGACCCTTTATATTTGAAATTTTTTTTTTTTCAAAATCGGCACTCCCCTATATTAGTTGAAGACACGATTTAATATAAACAATATTTCGCAATCATTGGCCAAGCATCATTTACTATAAGCCAAACGAATTGACAGAACTGTACAAATTTAAGTAATAGAGGAGTTTTAGATAAAAAAATATTGTAACTGTATTTATCTTTAACTATGTTCTCTTCTTTAAATAAAATGTAAGCATGGATGTAAATGAATACATTCGATGTACCTAATAAATTCTTTTAAGTATTTAAAACTTCTACATTTTTATTGTTTTAACTGCCAGATAGCTAAAATTTTAACAGCAGTGTATTTTTACTTGCACAAACAGTTTGTTTTTTTGTTGTAATATGGTGTTATGAGGATACCTCAACTTGTCAACTGTCAAATTCTTTTTATTTCTAAGTCGCATCATCTAGATTGATTGTACCACATTTAGATCTAATCTAGGAGTGAATTCTCCAGTAGGTAATTTAGCAAATAAATATGCTTTGGATTTATTTACAAAACTGTATTTATCGTGTGGGATGTCTTTTGGTCGTTTCAAGCGGCGCGTTTAAAGTGCATAAACATAAATAAGCACGAATTTCGATTATGTTTATATTATTAAGTATTAAATTATCTTAATTACATATAGAAAACATTTTAGAAGTAAAAGTATAGAGTCTAGTTTTCTTTTGTATTTTTGTAATTGCAACTAGCGTATTTCTAATAAATAAATAAATAAACATCCCACGTCTTCAATGTTGTAAAAGTTTATGTTTATGAAAAATATTCCTTCATCTAAATCGCATTCTCTTAACCCTTCATATACATGATAGCCGCATCAGAAATAATATTGTAATGTTCGTGGGTTTAACAAATTAAATTTTAACAAGAAAACTATTTATTTACGTTCTGCAGCCGTCCAGAGAAGTCTCGTTTTCTTTGAACGGTTTAATTGTTTTCCCGGAACACAGTTACGACACACACGTTTACAGATACGGCGCACATGACGAAAAGCGCCCGCGGCTAGTCGGCGAATCGATAAGCCGCTCACACACACGTATGCCCGATCGCACACAATCACGCTCGTGGTCGCTACATTGCCCCCTACTTAAGAATGTTTCGTCCCGAAACATTTTTACTTTCCGTTTCGCAGGATCATGCCGGAATCTGCAATTCTCGCCTTCACGACATCCACTCTGGGAATAGAAGTAACAGTCCACGGTCTTCTCATGATTGGTCCGATTCGGGTTATTACTGCAAACCAAAATGTCTATTCCAGTACGGTGGAACAGGACTTCGATCATATTCCGTACGATCCTCCAATCTAAGTTATCCAGTCCACAACCAAGCTTCGGAATCGGCAGCTTCTGTAGGTTATTCTCCAGAAGATGTCTGCGGAGTTCTATTACTGCGTCCCAAAGTGGGACCCGCCACATCGATTGCGATTCGTTCGAAGGGGTCACCGACATTGTAATGACGCATTGGCGCCCTTCGCCTTTTCTGTGGTCCATTACTCGCAGCACAGGTGGTACACTTCTTACACCAATCCTTGACATCTTCCTTACAGTTCACCAAATAAAATCGCTCTCGAAATTTCCCAAGCGTCTTATTTACTCGAAAATGGCCACCAGATGATCCCTCATGAAGATACTGCAACACCTCTCTAACCTTGTTTCGAGGAATAACCAGTTGCTTAATATCTACCTCTCCATCTGGACTTTCGACAACACGCTTCAGAATGCCATCCTCCAATACTATTGAATCCCACTGAGCCCATAACGATTTAGTACTTGGGTACAGGAAGGAACTTGCTGCCACGTTGGCCGTTTTCCGTCTTTTTTCCATGCCATTATCTTCTTCAAGTCCGGGTCGTTTTCTTGGTCGTATTTTATCAAAATCATATTCCTGTACCTTCTCAATCCATCGAGCTACCTGGCCCTCCGGATTCTTGAAGTTCAGAAGCCACTTTAAAGCTGCATGATCGGTGCGTAGGGTGAATTTTCGTCCATACAGGTATTTATAAACATGTTCTACACCTTTGACTACAGCCAGCATCTCTCGCCTAGTGACGCAGTAGTTTCTTTCGGCTTTTGATAAGGTCTTGCTAAAATAGCCGATTACCTTCTCTTGGTAATCTTGTACCTTGAACGGCTCCCATTCGCACATAGCTTGCGTCGGTCTCCAAAATGAACATTCAATTGGGCCGAGGATATACCCCCGGGCTGTGATTAATGCCTGCTTCAAAGTCTCAAATGCCGTTTGACAATCCGAATCCCAATGAAATTTGCGGTCACTTTCGGTTAAACATGTCAAAGGTTTGACAATATTGACGAATCCACAAACATAGCGACGATAATAATTGCACAATCCCAAAAAGCATCTTATGTCGTGCACATTTTCAGGCACTGTCCATTCATTCACGGCCTTTATCTTCTCTGAATCCACGGCCACAATGATACAACATGAGCCAAGTAAGAAACTTCCTCGCGGAAAGGTGGCACTTTTTCGGGCTGAGTTTCAAATTGGTCTCGCGTAACCGCTTGCAAATTCTGTAGATGTACATTAAAGGCGCTTCCAACCAATTTGATCACTCAAGATTTTCTCCATCAACCTTTCGAACGTCGCCGGGGCATTGCATAAACCAAAAGGCATAACTGTAAACTGCCAAAGGCCCGTGCCGATCGAGAATGCGGTCTTTTCCTTGTCGGCAGTATCTAAAGCAACTTGCCAGTATCCGCTCTTCAAGTCGAGTGTGGAAAACATTTTCGAACCAGAAAGCATCTCCAAGGTGTCATCAATCCGTGGTAGTGGATAACTATCTTTCTTAGTTACGTTGTTGAGCTGGCGGTAATCCACACAAAAACGGGTTGTTCCATCCTTCTTCTTTACCAATACTACCGGTGATGTTCATGGACTTGAGGATGGCTCAATTATGCCGGTCTCCTGCATTTCGTGGATTATTCGCTCTGCTTCTTCCTTTTTGACCAGGAGTAATCGTCTAGGTCTTTCACGAATTGGCTGCGCATTTCCGGTATTGATCTTGTGTTTTACGATATTGGTCCTTCCCCTACTATTCTTGTTAGTCTCAAAGACGTCGGCATTCTGACAAAGTGGATGTTGCACTTTGCATTTCTGCTCACTGGTTAGATTCCTACAATGTCTGTCCATCACTCCACTTATTTCAACAGGTACTGTTTCAGAATTTACCTTTCGGGTTACAGCCTCCTGTCTATCTTTGTTGAAATAGAATTCTTCGCCATTTAGTCTCAAAAGGCGTCTTCTTAAATTTATGTCAAAATCGTATTTTTGTAAAACGTGCAGCCCAAGAATTACGTCATCTTCAATATCTGCCACAAGCACTCGATGGTCAAAGACAGTCTTACCGATTTCAAGTGAGGCGTCAGCTTCGCCATGAACAACCGCTTTTTCTCCGGTTGCCGTACGCAGAACCCACTTAGTTGACACGACCTGGTTAGAACCGTCAATTACGCCGGCTTTTACTATGCTCCTAGTGGCCCCAGTGTCCAAAAGAAACACGCATCTTCGGCCATTTATTTTTCCACCTAGGAGTAGACTGTCATTCTGGTGCTTCAAGGTCTTCGTAAATGTGATAAATTCGGGGTCTTTTTGTCCGTGGGTCAACGTTTGCCCCGTTACGTCGACCCTATCTAGTTTTCCTGCTGTTGACGGCGAGTACTTGGGGAAGGATTACTTTTCCTACACTGCCTTCTCGTGTGACCTAGTTCGCCGCAATTCCAACATCTTAGCCTTCGTGTTTCTTTATCGAACGTGGATATGATTCTGCAGACGGTTTCTTCTAGAGATTCTGACGAATCCGTTTCTTCACACAGTAGCCGAACCCTTCCCTGTCTGCTATATGTCCGTTTAACAGTTTCGTACTCCAATGCACGAGCCGATGCATCAGCTAGCGTCTTAGGTCGGTCAAGGCGTATTCGTTGTTGGGTGTCACTGTCCCGAAGTCCATCAGTAAATGCCTCCACTGCCAACCTTTCCATTAATTCTTCTGGAGTATTAGGATAGGCCAGTCGGGACAGTCTCGCAATATCGGCCTCGAATTCTTGTAGGGATTCCGTTGGTTTCTGCTGACGGGTTTTCAGTTGGATGTGATACACCGCTGTTTAATGAGCCTAGCGTAGCCGTAGCGCAACTCCAACCGTTTTACCAACTGTTCGTAATGCGCCAACTCTTCCGGGGAAAGGGTGTTCAAAATGTCAGGAGCCCAGTTATTCGCCTTAGCAGCCGCGTCGAATTGCTTGTGGTATGTGGCCCATGAGGACTATCCATCAAACGTTGGTGGTTTTACTTGTGTTCTTGACTCTATACCGCTTCCTTGGCTGATTTGGCTGGCTTCGTTGAGTGTACCAGATGCACCAACATCCCCTTCGATTGGTTTTGTCTTTCCATTAAAGATCAATTCTTCCAGCACTTTTATCTTCTCTTCTGTTTCTTGAATATTCTTATTAATTTTTTCTTCCCATGTATCCTCCAAACTTCTACTGTTTTCTTGCAATTTATTTTCCAAATTTTTGTTGTTTTCTTCCAATTCACGTTTCATCTTTTACTATTTTCTTCCAATTTATTTTCAAACTTTTGCTTTTTTCCTCCAATTCACATTTCAGACTTTTACTATGTTCCTCCAATTTTTCAAACTTTTACTGTTTTCTTCCAATTCACGTTTCAAACTTTTACTATTTTCTTCCAATTCACGTTTCAAAATTTGACTATTTTCTTTCAATTCACGTTTCAAGATTTGCGTCAATTCATCTTCGAAAAGGAACGTTTCAGGATCGTGACCATCCTTTTTCAACGCCTCCGCGAGCCGCCATTGAAGTTCCGGTTTGTTACCGCTTGTCGCTACATCCCGTTCTTCCAATTCTCTTCTTAGCTCGACTACTTTTAATTCGTACAACTTCTTTGCCATTGTAGTGTCTTTTACTCAACCCCACACCTGACACCAGTTGTAATGTTCGTGGGTTTAACAAATTACATTTTAACAAGAAAACTATTTATTTACAGTAATTACTATTAAACTTAAAAACACTATTAAATTATTACTAAACTTCGGTAATTATTCTATTTATTTACACTACTATTACTATTCACTGTTTTATTTATTTCACTTCTATCACTGTCAATTTATCTCTTGACTCACTTCTGCAACGGTCAATTTATTTCTACTCTACTTCGGCGATCGTCTCTTCCTTTTTATACTCCCTTGCGCCTCCTTTCGGGAACGTTCTCCAGCCGTCCAGAGAAGTCTCGGTTTTTTTTTTAACTGTTTAATTGCTTTCCCGGAACGCAGGTACGACACACACGTTTACAGATACGGTGCACNGTTTTAGGGAAATGCGAAGTTTAGCTCAGGATAGGAAAGAGTGGAGGTACGTGTCCAACCAGTCTTAGGACTGATGACCTTATGATGATGATGATGATGATTATCCAAATCCAGATACCATATTCCGAACGTAACAGGTACCTATCTATGTATATTGAAATTTTTGGTTAAGACTTGTCACGGAAAAGATGCTTACAACGTGTAATGGTAGATATCTTTCCCTTTTTGTAATCGGTGATTTCTTTCACATATAAAATCTTGGATGTCTAATATAAAAGCCGCGATTCTTAAACATTATTAGTTGTAAATCAGGTACACGAATAAACATGTAGCCGATCAATGACATCGGAAAAGTCAATTATATATTATGTCGGATAGAACGTAGGTACATATGTGTCCTTGTAACTTGCAAGTGTCTTGGCAGAATCTAATGATACATTTGTGGAATACGTGGGACCTTGTAACCGATGACCCCTCCCCCTTCTCATTTTGTAATGGAAACGGCCAAAACACACTACTGAATTGGATTATTACTTGCAAAAAAACAGCAATAGAACATTAATAATTAGTATTATACATAGACAATACATTGCATTTACTTGTATGTGCAGTCGTTGGGACTTTTTTAGAACAGATGGATCGAAAACGATAGTGGTGGTAGGACGTTTTCGATAAATAATATATTCAGTGCGTATACAGACAGTTATCGTTCTACAGCTCGTATTTTTATTACGTTGCAATTCCAACATCCTATTTCAGTTTTTTATTCTATATAATTCAATATGATTTTTATTTGAATTAAACTTGTGTTCATGTAAATAAATTGTACCTATATACGACATTCACTAATCATCATTCTCTCCAGCCAACCTCACTATCACAATGTCCATTTGCTACCCAATGTATTTTAAATACCTAACAGTTTCACTTAAATTATTTTCAAGTAATCTTCTACACAAAAAATATTAAAAATTGAATTTACAATCGATCAGTTGGTAAATATTATTGGCTAAAGTTAAATGTAAAATGAATATTTGCCTAAATCAAACATATAAATGTTTGACGTTGAACAAAATATATCCTCAAATACTGATAAGACGGTATGCTGTGAGCAGTTCAATTGTTAATTCAAACATGGGCAACAACATCAATATATTAGTGAAAAGTATTTAACTTTTTACTTATAAATTGTTAAAAATTATGCAAAATGACATCCTGAGATATTGATTTAGTAGGTAGGTACTCCTTTTTCCACACTTTCGTAAACTATGTGATTGACAGCAGATTGGCCCCAGCGCTATTATCATATTTATACATACTAAAATGCAACAAAGGGTAAATTTACGTCGCTAAAACCACATTTAAGAAGACGTCATCTTAACTATAAATGTTTTTATGTCGGTTGGCGTACAAAAGAAAACCAAAACTATAAAAAATAATATTTATATAGCTACCAACCATTTAAACGACTTTTACTGCATTATACTGATAATGCGATTAAAAAAAGATGTACTTATTTGTACTAATAGGTTTAACTTGCCAGTAATAAAATTGCACAGGTGCAAAGAAAGAACGCAGTCGATGGAACATCTCTTACTAAATCGGTTCTTCCTGGATATGGATTTCGCCTTTGTGTCAATCGATTCCATGGAAATACTACAGAAATTGACTCAATAGATTGACTGTTGATTGCCGGATTATCCCCTGATTCTCCAATCTAAGATATTTTAACTACATACATTTTGACAACACAATTTTATTTCGTACTTACTTGTAATTTATTTTTTGAAGAACGATTTTCTTCCAATTTTGACATTTTTATAAATTCAAATAAAAATATTCTTACTAGATTGTCAAAATTTTATATAAAAGAAAAAGTGTGAATACGAATAATTAAAGATGAACATCGAATATTAACTCATCAATAAGGAGAATGTTTAGGTATGGAAGAAAATAGAATAAAAAAGTCACATAAAAATATTATATTAATTAAATTCATAAAAAAATACAGTGATCTCAAAAAAGGTAAAACAGTTAAAAATACTGACAGGTAATAAAACTAAAACAGTTTGTTTAGTAAGGCTTTACATATTACAAGTTCCTCTAATATTTCTTTAAGTACAACTTGGAGAAGTACCTAAAGCAGTAACTTTGTGTTGGTGTTTTGGTCTATTCTATTAATTTGAATAGGGCTATCGAAAATATCATTCCCACGATCTGTAACATAAATAAAATTTTAAGTACCTAATATCTAACTTTATTGCGAATTATTTTTCGGTAGATACAGTTAAATGGTTAAAGATATGGGTTGTTCTAGTTTTAGGGAAATGCGAAGATTAACTCAGGATAGGAAAGAGTGGAGGTGCGTGTCCAACCAGTCTTAGGACTGACGACCTTATGATGATGATGAGATATAGTTTTAAGGAATGTATTGAAAGTATACCATTAAGCAAGCAACTCCAATTCCCGCTCCACCTATGACAGCTGCATGATCTTTAACAAAATCGACAGTAACGTTAAGGCAACCTCTTTGGTATAATGTGAATGAATTTTGTTGTTCAAACATCAATTGACATCTCTGCCTTTTTCCTTCAACTGGTTCTTTGCAGCAAGAGTCGGGAATATTGTTCTGCCAATCCCTAAAAATCGCTTTGGAAATTATTTAAAGAACGTGTGTTACCCATCAAAATTTAAAACCTGTACGAATATATCCCACAACACTGAAGGCGATGTTGAGTTTCGTCCCAGGCATTGGTAACACTTTTTACTCTACCATATGATGGAATAGAACTGACCATTGCATTTCTCATTGTGATCCCAACTTTTTCACGAAAAACGTAGCCCAGAATCCCCCCAAGTAGCATTGTTACAAAAACGATGAAAATCACAATGAAATACTAGAAACAATTAATTCATATGTAAAGTTGTCACATAATTAAAACGAGAGTTTCTACTTACCGTCATTAACATGCATCTCACTTCTTTAATAGCCCCAAAACACCCAAAACAGGATACAAGAGATATTAAAATTCCTGTAATTAGTAACACATAAATAGCTCCAGAATACAAATTTGTCCCAAGTAGCTCATTGGCGAATGATTTGTCGACAATTGTCCAAATTGTTAGTCCCACTATCACAACAGCTCCAATCTGAAGATGTCAGGAAAAACTTAAAGAAGCTTTTTTATTACTTGTTAATTAGAAAAAACTATCATTCTTGCTTGACCCGTAATAATTACAATGATTTATATACAATAAGTATAAGAAAAGATTGTTATGAAATACGACCTTCTCAGTTCAATCAAAGCGTTTAGAAGAAAGATACCACATAAATTTACCATGAAAGGCTACGTAGCTACTACTTATGTACGTTAAAATCCGTACGTACATGTACCTACTGGAGGTAAAATAAAATTAATAAGTCAAGTAAACTGATAGTTAATAAATAATTTAAAGTTTCTTTATATGGACATTTCACTTACGAAAATTATGAGATTAATAATAAACAATCCATATTTCATAAAATTTCCACAACCATCCATTCGGCTTCCAAATGCCATCCTAGGTACCTACTAAAGTACAGCTCTGGAAAAAGAAAAATTATTTAAAATTAAAACCTTGGTGCATTTATGTATGCCTTAATATTTACTTTAATAAACAGTAATAGAGATTTAACAATCATTATCTGTTATTTATTAGAATTCAATTGTACATAAAAACTTCAATCCTTCCTTCAAATACAGAAAAATAAGTTTTATATTTGTCAGTTATTAAAACTAAACATTACTTTCAATTTTACTAAAGCTAAAATTTGAAATAATCCTCCGTCTTTTAAAACGTTGTCAACTAATTTACGTATATTTATCTGAGGAAAATTTTGATTATTAAACGAATGATCATCATCATTTTTGTTATTGAAATTTTGTGATATTGTTTTGTAATTTCCTTTTGGTAAGTGTATGCTCAATTTTTAATTACGTGGTATAACGATTAATTACTGATATAACCAACGATAAGTACTATTTATTCTTATGCTTCTTTATCAATTTAAATAAAGAACATAAACAATAAAATTCAATATACATTGTCTGCCAAACAGTTGTAAACGAGAAAGCAAAAACATTTGAAAGTACAGCTGTGTGCATTTTTGCCTTCAAATGTCATCGAATACAAAGCTGGTTCGTAAAATATAAAAAAAAGAAAAACAGAAGAAAACAAGGAAAAATGCTTATTGGAAGACGTTAAAGCGTTAGAAACCATATACTAATAATAGAAAATATTTCTTGCTGATTTGTGAAGGTGATACTCAAGAAAAATTCAGGCAATTTGGATATATTTTAGCTTTTTAGGCAACCCTAAACTTTATTCGTTAATGTATTCAATAAGTTGTTTTTAATTATTATGAATGAATTAGCTTTTTTTGTGATAATTAGTAATACTTGTCGTCTTTTTTATTCTGTAGAGACGTCCGAAGTTCTTTTTTAAGGGGTAACTATTTTAACTATTTTTGATGTTGACCGTTTAATATAGGAAATATTATATATGTTAGCGGAGGGTGGAATTTATGTTGGCGCAGNGTTAAGTGCACGGTGAGGCGTGTACCTCTGAACTTCATACAAAATAGTAATGTCCATAAGTGAAATATGAAGTTAAGTGCACGGTGAGGCGTGTATCTCTGAACTTCTTACAAATGATAATGTTAATGCTATAAGAGAATTAAAAGCAGGCTGAAGTACTATGTGTCCTTTTATTTTCGTATTATACTTCACATTGGTCTAAATAAAAACGCATAATTAACTAGTAGTGTCTTGCAAGAAAAAGTCTGCTTCGCAATGTCTCTAAATTACAGATGAAACGATAATACCAAGTCGCGAGGGCGCTCCATTGCAGGATGGCCGTGTTAGCGGAGGGTGGAATTTATGTTGGCGCAGGGTGGAATTTCCCTGTTCGTAACCTGATTTCATAAGGGCCATCTGGAAACGCACGCATAGACGCAAGATACATTTACGCAACAGGCACTTATCCTGCACCCTGCGGGGGTGATATGGGATAGTCAGTCGTAGAAAGACGGATGTAAAACACGGAGTAGAAATAAATTGTTAAAATTGAGTGTTGTTATTGTTAATAGTTAGTTGTCTTAAAACCAACAATAATAGTATCTTTACATCAGGAGTGGGATTGTTTTCCGCTGCCCTAGAACAAAACCAAAATAAATTATTAAAATGGCTGAAGAGAATCGTTCCTGTTTCGAAAGCGAAGATGCTGTAGTAGTGGATACAGAAAGAGACGAGTCCTCATCACCAAGTCCCAAAAGACTGAAAGTACAATGGCAGGAAACATTGATTAGTTTAATAGCTACGCAACAACAACAGCTTGCTGAGCTAACACGGCAATCAAAGATGACAACTTCGGCATCAGCGTCGCCAACGCCCAGCATTTCCGTAGCTGAAAGTTCCAATGCACAATCGCTCGTAGCTAGTCACATGTACACATCGTTTAAATTGACGGACTACGATCCAGATAAGAGCGCATACTCCATTGAGGAATGGCTGAGCGATGCCCAAAGGCTCAAGGAAGAGTTGAATGTAAGCGATAATTTGATGATAGCGAAAGCCAGTGAAGCACTTAAAAATCGCGGTTATCGCTACTGCTGCGACTGGAGACCCCTGTGCCGCACTTGGGAAAACTTTTGTGATGACCTTACCATTGCTTTTCCTGACCAGGAGACGCCAGGCGCCCGTGCGTATAAGGCCGCCACGCTGAGAAGCCGCGATTGTGACACATTGTGCGAATACGGGAATCAAAAACTGCGGAGCATCAGCAGATTCCATGATCAGCTGCCGTGGAACAAAATATTGAGCATGGTCGAATATGGTTTGGATAACGCAGAGGCACGTTCCACCCTGTATATACAAAAACCCAAGTCGCAACGCGAATTGTTGCAATTACTAGGCAAATTCGATGCACGCTGTACCGAATCATCGCCGATAGAGCAGCTGCAATCACATCAATAACATTCCAAAACTTTCTAGCCTAAGAACGAATACGCATAGCAAGTAGCGCACAAAAGCAGGCTCAGCGGTTTAACACAGTGATATTTTGTGCAAGATTGTTTGATTTGGGAGACCTGATAGCTGTCGAAGATTCTCAACTTGCTGTGGAAGTAAATTGAAGTCTAAGTATAAAGGTCCGTATACTGTCCAAACCCTACTTCCGAACGAGAGGTATGCGTTGCAAAAACGAGGTGGCAAAATTATTGTGGCTGCTCACGAACAATTAAGATGCTGGCCTTCCAATCAGTAAAAGGGTATGTAATATTAAATAGTGTATAACTGCTATTCGAAGTAACATTTAAAGTCAAGTGCACGTATAAGCGTGTACCTCTGAACTTTTTGTAAAATAATTAATAATGTTAATTAGTAAAATATGAAGTTAAGTGCACGGTGAGGCGTGTACCTCTGAACTTCATACAAAATAGTAATGTCCATAAGTGAAATATGAAGTTAAGTGCACGGTGAGGCGTGTATCTCTGAACTTCTTACAAATGATAATGTTAATGCTATAAGAGAATTAAAAGCAGGCTGAAGTACTATGTGTCCTTTTATTTTCGTATTATACTTCACATTGGTCTAAATAAAAACGCATAATTAACTAGTAGTGTCTTGCAAGAAAAAGTCTGCTTCGCAATGTCTCTAAATTACAGATGAAACGATAATACCAAGTCGCGAGGGCGCTCCATTGCAGGATGGCCGTGTTAGCGGAGGGTGGAATTTATGTTGGCGCAGGGTGGAATTTCCCTGTTCGTAACCTGATTTCATAAGGGCCATCTGGAAACGCACGCATAGACGCAAGATACATTTACGCAACAGGCACTTATCCTGCACCCTGCGGGGGTGATATGGGATAGTCAGTCGTAGAAAGACGGATGTAAAACACGGAGTAGAAATAAATTGTTAAAATTGAGTGTTGTTATTGTTAATAGTTAGTTGTCTTAAAACCAACAATAATAGTATCTTTACATATATTATAAGAATATATACAAGGGCTTTGAAATGAATATGCTATGTCAACGTCCCAAATTTTTCTTTCGCCCATCACACATTCTCCACCTCCTCATAATCGTAGTTGTCTTCATCACGACTACATTGGTCACACTATGGAGCAGCGTAGTCCTGCTCCATGCTATTCAGCTTGTGAACTAAAAACCTCGTCCAGATCAGCCGTAACGAGAACGCTCAATCTTGGCACAAGACGCCGCCGTCCACCATGTCCCTCGACCGACTAGCCGTCAAATTGCCACCCTTCACCGCAAGTTTGAGTATGAGCTAGGCAACCTCGACCCTCACTAAGCAGCGGAAGTGCGCGATATCATTGTCAACCCCCCGGCGACCGAACTAAGTACCACCATCAAGGTAGCACTCGTTCGTCGACTGGGCATCTCCCAACAAACACGAATGAAACAACTCTTCGAGCCAGGAGATTTGGGGGATAAGAAAACCACGAAATTTCTGCGCCATCTACGCCGTCTGGCCGGAACCGCTATGTCGGACAATTTACTGCGAACCATTTGGTCAAATCGTTTCCCGCTTAATGTTCAAGCCATTATCGCAACTATGCGGGACATGGGTCCGGATGAAACAGCAGAGGCAGCTGATTGCATCATGGAAGCAATCCAAACGCAAGCCATAGCCGCAGCTAATCCCATGACCAGTTTCACTTCGCAGACTATTAAAATTTAACCAACATGGTACATGCCCTCCAGATGGATCTAAACAACATGAGATGGCACATCGCGGGAAAATTGAAGAACCGACCCCGTTCAAATTATACCCAGACGACGTTCCAACCACAATATTAAGGCAAATGGTCAAAGGAAATGCACACCAACACATCCCACCATGACGGATGAAAACAGGAAATCAATTAGAAAACCACGTATGGCAACGACTGAGGTCCACACAGCGCAACGACGCCTATTTGTATCAAACAGAATCACACATCATAAATTTCTAGTCGATACCGTTGCTGACATCTGCATGTATCCCAAGTCACTAACACTTGTGCCACATCAAAAATCGATGTTCACGCTACAAGCACAAAACTCCACCAACATAGTGACTTATGATACTATTGTTCTGCCTCGCAATTTATGCCTACGAATATGTTTCCCATGGTGTTTTAAGGTTACAAAACCAATCATCATTGCTGACTTCATTATACACTACCAATTGCTGGTAGACTTAAGCGATCAACGACTCCTGAATCGACTCACCCACCTCACCACCTCTGATTAAGTAACCAACTGCAGCCAACCCTCACTTTCGTCACATATACAAAACCGACCACCTCCGTATATCATGATGTACTTCAACATTTTCCCTCATTAATTCGACCCAACGACCAAATCACCACGGACCAAGGTAGACAATTTGAGTCCCAAATTTTCAAGAAGCTGTCGCATTTAATAAACTCAAAACATAATCACCCAACGGCCTACCACCCCTCAACAAATGGTATGGTTGAGCGACTACACCAACTATTAAAAGCCGCCATAACTTGTCATCAGAACAGCAGCTGGACTTCCCAATGTTCTATTAGGCATTCGT